AATATTCTGTTAATTAGCCTCAATAGCTGTATTAATACTTGTCGATAAGTGAGTTGGTATAGTAAGAGTTGTTTAATTTGGGTTTGATCTCGTGGATTATCGTAATATTAGTGTGATGTAGAATAGTGTTGGTAAGGTATTGTCTGTTTTGTGACGGTTGACGGTCACTATTTGAGTTGGTGGTTAGGGCTTTTGAAGAGTTATTATTTCGTTTTGTTAAGGTCTTGGAGTAGTGATAGTTATTTTGGCCTTGGGATGCATTGTGCATTAGGTGATGGAGATAGTTCATTGAAGTTGGGTTGTCACCGATAAGGTATGGTGCCTTGGTATTCTGGGGAGTCGTTTTGCCAAAATTTTGTTATGCTTAAGGGATTAGATCCTATTTTGTTGCTGTGGGTTATCGATGTGGATAGAAGAATCACTTAATGGTTTATACTAGTGAGGGTTTTATAATCAATTGTTGTGCAAATGTCATGATTTGATTTGTTACCGGTGTGACGTGTTGAGGCTCATGTAGTAGTCAAAGAAATTTTGTTGATGCATTAGTAAGTACCTGAGCGAGTTTATGGGTGACTGTAGAATGTATTACATTACTTGAGTTTAATTTCGAGAATGAAATTTCTTTAAGGAGGGTAGGTTGTAATGACCCAAAAATTTGTTTTTTTTTAAATAGCCAGCGCATAATTTAATTGAGCAAATTTTTGAATTTGATTGTCGTGTAAATTCTGTGCGAAAACAGTTCGGTTTTGTATTTTTTAAAAATAATTCCCAAACTTATAAAATTATGAAATTTTTATATGTTGTTCCCATATGAGTCTAGCACGTTGGATAAAAATTTCAGAATTTAATGATGAGTATTTATTTTATGAAAATTCACGGACTGATTGGTGTTCAGTTTAATTTATAGCAAAATTTAAAATTGAGTTTTCGGTGTTCGGACCATGATTTGAGATAAATTTTTTGGGTCTATTTTGGTATATAATTAGACCATATTTGACTTATGGGTGAGACCAATGACTTGGATTTAATTTAAATTGAGTTTGTTCAATGACTCACGTTTAATTGTTTGGTCATTTTAAAATGTGATTGGTAATAACCACTTTGGGAGTTGTTATTATTTATTATATAGGATTATAATAAATATTTGATAGTTGATTTTATGGTGTGCATAATATGGTAAAAAATTATATATTTTTGTAGTAAATAAAATGGACGTATATTTTGTAGTGAGCAAAATATTATATTTTGTGATGTGTTCAAGCAAACGAAATATATTTTGTGGTGAAAAAATAATGATATAATTTTATAAATTAGGTTACAAAATCTTATAAAGTTGCTAATTGTACTTTTAATTATATACATAGAGAGAGAGAGAGATGGATATATCTATATATATAATAAAATAATAATAATAATGAGAGAGCCCATGGTGGGCTACCCTCATTCCCCCTTGCTTTTATTTGTTTCCTTTTGTTCTTGGTAGAGAACATATCTCTCTCTCTGTCTCTCTCTCTCTCTCTCTTTCTCTCTCTCTCTCTCTTTCTTTCTACTCTCTCATTTCTCTTATCTTTCTCTAAACACCACTACAAACCCTTAATTCTTTTCTTGATCTAGCAAGATCCATTGAGTTTTAGACCATAGTTCTTAAGATCAAAGTGAAGAGATTGGTGAGAGCAACGTTTTGACCTGTGGAGATCGAAATCCAACAAAGTCGAAAATTGGGGTTTTGTTGCTTGTTTCCTCTTCTAGCTTGAGGTTGATGCCCAAATTTCGAAAGTGTAAACTTGGAATATGTTTGTAAGGTTACGAAAGAGTTATGTTTTAAATTTGAACAAAAACGGACTTCGATTCGATTGGTTTTGAAATTTTTACCGGTTTGTGACCAAAAGAGCATTTTTAAAGAAAACAAAGGAATTACACTTAACTTTTGGGGCTTTCAATCAAAATAGGATGTCATAGTTGAATAATGCTTGGAGGATGAGTTTGGAAAGAAAATGATGTTTTCTTGGACATTAACAGTATTATTTTGCTTAATGTGTCTGTTGGAATAAAATCGACATGGTTAGAAATGGACCTTGAGAGGTTACCAGACGTGATTGTGATATGAAAACTAGTGTAGTTGTTCATATTTGATGAGATGTGGAATAGATTGTATTTATCAAAAAAAAAATTAGAATTTAATTATTTAAATATCTGTTTGGAAATATCTGTTTTGGGCTATCGGCGGAGAATAGCCATGATTGTTGTAGAAATGCATGAGACTTAGGTCAATCGAACCACATTTCTCATTTGTTGCATTGGACATTGTATTACATTCATTTCATTGGAAATGTATCTATTTTTTAGAAATTTTTGTAAATGTATCTGTTTGCGAAAAGATGAATACTTGGTGAATCTGGGTAGAGGGTGTGGAACCACGCGGTTACGTGTCGAGCCTTCCAATTTACTAGTAAAAATGACAGTGCTAGTGCATTAGGGCCTACTTGCAGACACTCACCTACAGATTCACAGAGCCTGTATTCATGTAACAGATATGGTTTAAAATGTAAATAGTTTTATATCTGTTGTTGCATCTCAACATTGCATGCTTTATAAAAAGAGAGATAAATTGTTTTATCATGAGCATACTCCTCTTTAGTCTTGTCATGGTTCATATGTTATGTAGTATATCTCTACTGGGCTGTGGCTCACCCTATAAGCAAAACCATTTCAGGAACAGGTGTTATGCCTCCGCCAAGGCGTTGACTTGGGAGAACTCGGAGCTGAGGGTTCATTTTTGTTTTATTGTTATTTGTTGAATGTAAGCCCAAGGTTGTATTTGCGTTGAGTTGAAACTCCGTTTTGTGTAACCAAAAATGTTCTTGGATAAATTTGTAAGCCTGTAGGGCACTTATTATCTGTTTGGCTTCCATTTCATACTTGTTGTAAAATGTATGCTTGGGATTGGAACTAGGGCATTGAGATGTGAATAGCATGTATTTGGCATTTGGGATTTTATGGAAATGGATGTATGGAATAGTTAGCTATAAATAGATATACCCTGTCCAATTTTCAGGGCGTTACACCTTAACTCCGTTCCCAATGCTTTTTGTAGGCTTTGCCAAAACCTTGACACAAACTTAGAATCTCTGTCCGACACAATGGAGACCGGAACACGGTGCAGTCGAATAATCTCCGCAATGTACACCGTAGCAAGTCTATCAGCATTATAAACAGTCTTCACAGAAAGAAAATGAGCAGACTTAGTCAATCTATCCATAACCACCCATATAGAATCTATACCTCGGGGTGTTCGGGGTAAACCCATAATAAAATCCATAGTTATATGCTCTCACTTCCATTCTAGAATAGGGAGAGGTTGAAGTAACCCCGCCAGTCTTTAATGCTCCGCTTTTACTTATTGACATTGAAGGCACCTTGAAATGAACTCCGTAATTTCTTTCTTCATATTGGGCCACCAAAAAGCTTGCTTGAGATCTTGGTACATTTTGGTATTTCCGGGATGCATAGCAAATTTGGACTTGTGAGCTTCTTCCAAGACCCTTCCTTTAATTTTGGGGACATTAGGAACACACAATCTTTCCTTGAATTTCAACACTTGAGCTTCCAAAGAAAATCCCGGTTTTGGCTTCGCTTCTATCTTATCATGTACTTTCTTGAAAAATTCATCTTCCAATTGCCTTCGTTTGATTTCCTCAATAATAGTCGGTTGCGCAACCCTCGTGGCTAACATTCCATCCTATTCATGTAGCACAATTTCCACCTCCATTGTTTCCAAGTCAAGCGATAGTTCATTTTGCTCTGCAAGTAAACATGCTAAGTTCCCGTTGACTTTCTACTAAGAGCATCTGGTACAGTGTTGGCTCTACCGGGATGATAATGAATCTGCAAGTCATAATCCTTGATGAGTTCCAACCACTGCCTTTGACACCTATTAAGCTCCTTTTGAGTAAAGAAATATTTGAGGCTCTTGTGGTCGGTGTAGACTTCACATATTGCAGATAATGCCGCTAAATCTTCAATGCAAACACCACAGCAGCTATATCCAAATCATGCATAAGGTAATTCTTTTCATGTGGTTTCAAATGTCGAGATGCATACGCAATCACTCTTCTATTCCGCATAAGTACACACCCCAAACCCTTATGCGAAGCATCATTATAGATTACAAACCCTTCTGTACCTGATGGTAAAGCGAGGACCGGTGTTATTGTGAGTTGTGTCTTTAATTCTTCGAAGGCGGACTCCCTCTGTTCTGTCCACTCAAATGGAACACCTTTTTGAGTCAATTGGGTGAACGGCACCGCAATCTTTGAGAAATCTTTAACAAATCTTCGGTAGTAACCTGCTAAACCCATAAAACTACGTACTTCTATTACATTGGTAGGAGCAGGCCAATTCACAATAGCTTCTATCTTTTGCGGATTGACAGACACACCATCCTTGCTAATTACATGCCCCCAAAACACAGCTTCATTCAACCAAAATTTACATTTATTCAATTTAGCATATAACTTCTTGTCCCTGAGTGTTTTAAGAATCAATCTCAAGTGTTTTTCATGTTCCTCCCTACTCTTCGAATAAATAAGAATGTCATCAATGAATACCACCACAAATTCATCCAAGTATGGTTTGAAAACCCGATTCATTAAATCCATCAAAGCTACTGGTGCGTTCATAACCCCAAATGGCATGACTAAAAATTCAAAATGGCCATACCTGGTTTGAAAGGCGGTCTTCTCAACATCTTCTGCTTTGACATTTAACTAATGGTACCCGGATCTCAAGTCAATCCTTGAAAACACTTGTGCCCCCTATAATTGGTCAAACAAATCGTCAATCTATGGTAAAGAATATTTATTCTTCACCATTACCTTATTAAGTTCTTAGTAATCAATACACAACCGAAGGGTCCCATCCTTCTTCTTCACAAACAAAACGGGTGCGCCCCATGGCGATGTACTCGATTGGATGAACCCTTTGTCAAGCAATTCTTGCAACTATATTTTCATTTCCTTCATTTCTGCCAGTGACATTCTGTACGGAGCCTTAGAAATCAGTTGAGTACCCGGCACAATATCAATAACAAATTCAATCTCAGGGTCTCTCAAGTCCGCTGGCAATTCTTCGGGAAATACATCCGGAAACTCACTAACAATCTAAATATTTTCAACACCCACCTCAGTTGTCTCTACATGCAAAATGCTACACAAATAACCCCTACAACCTTTCTGAATTAGTTTACAAGCTTTCATAGCCAATATCAAATAAGGTGGAGGGATTACCCCATGTCCCACAAAAGTAAACTCATCTTGACCCGATGGACGGAAAACAACTTGTTTACACACACAGTCGATGGTTGCATGATACTTAGCTAACCAATCCATTCCCAAAATTGCATCAAAGTGTACCATATCAGGAGGCATCAAATTAGCACATAATGAAATATCTCCAAGTAAAAGCTCACATGCAGGATACATAAAAGCACATAACATATAATCCGCAGATGGGAGAGACACATACAACACATAATTCAAGGGTTCCATAGATCTATTCAAATTAGGAGCAAAAGTTTTCGAGACAACGGAATGAGTGGAACCTGAATCAAGTAGCACATGAGTAAGTTGGCCATTGACGGAAAGCGTACCTAAAATCATAGCATCTGAATTTTGGACATCACCTAGAATAAGATCAAAGACTCTTCCTTGCCTAACATTATCTCTAGAAGTAGTAGGCCTTGTCGGGGTCTTTATTGAAGGAGTGAAACCAGCTGAACTAGCAGTTGGCCTATTACCTTTTTGTTGCCCAAACATTGGACAATCTTGCATCATATGACCCATCTTCCCACACTTAAAGCAAGCTCCTGATGCTCGATGGCAAACCCCTCGATGTTTCTTTCCACATTCCGGGCAAGTTGGTGGTGAATCACGGTTAGACCCCGTAGTGTTGGAAGTTCACAAATTTTACTTCTTATTTTGTGAGGACGCCGACCCCTTGTGCATATTGGAACCCTGCCTCTTGCGTTTCCAATCTGAGTAGCGATTGCGGTTGGCTTGATTAGCTTCCGCTATGATGACCCTATCCAATACGTTTACATATTGTTGTACCTACAATACATTAATCTTCTCAAGAATGGAGTCTTGGAGACCTCCCTTAAATTTCTTCGCCTTTTTGTAGTCCGTATCGACCATGTACGGTGTGAAACGGGCTAGTTCGGTAAATTGCACCTCATACTCCATTAAGGTTTTATTTCCTTGCTTCAAGTTCTCAAACTCCGAGACCTTTCTATCTCGGATACTCTATGGGAAGTACTTCTCATAAAAGATCTCCAAAAACTGAGCCCAATTCATTCCTTGATATTCCTCTCAGATGAGCATCCATTAATGGCGTGCCTCATTTTCTAGTGTAAAAGCAGCAAGTAAAACTTTCTGGCCCTCTGTACATGGAAAGACCTCAAACAATTTCTTTATGCCAAGCACCCATATCTCTGCCTTCAATGGATCGATTCCCCTTTTGAACAATGGTGGTTTCATCTTCTTAAATTCCTTTGTAAGAGCAATAGTTCTATCGTCGGCTTAGTAGTCTTGCACTACAGGTGATGGCACCGGCATTAGTGGCGGTTGTGATTGTTGTTGCTGTTGTTGTTATTGTCTAAAAGCTTCAGCCATGTCCATAATCATTGCCTCCATCCTATCAAGTCATGCGGAGGTTGAATCCTCCCCATCTTCTACTCTTGTTCTCACCATAATCTAGAGGAACATACATTATAACTTTCACAAACAGTATGCACATAAGCCACATATACAGATGCACATTTTCGTGTCATACTTGATTATGAATGAAATGTGGATGCAACTTAAACCTTTTCTAGACTTCTTGTTGCTCACATGGACTCGTGTGTGAGATATTAACTCGTATGAGTAATAATACATAAAATTGGGTGAGCGAAGCTTAATGAGTAATAATACAGTAAAGTAGTGTAAGTAGATGATCATAAGGTTCTCACAAAATTTATAATCATATAAATCAAGCGGCCTCAAACCCAAGCATATAACAAGCGGCCTCAGGCCCAAACATATAACAAGCGGCCTCGGGCCCAATCATATATCAAGTGGCCTCGAACCCAAACACATAACAAGCGGCTTCGGGCCCAATCATGTAGCAAGCGGCTTCGGGCCCAATCATACAGCACATGTCATATAATATTAATGAAGTTTCTCATTTCAATCAAATCGCAATGTCGGTACCAATCACCATTCATGGTTCAAGGTACACAATAAAGAATATATATGTATGATATTGTTACTCGCAGTGCTTGGTTAGATGGTACTCCTTAATGACTCAGCCTGCAGAAACATAACCAAGCATAACATTTCAAAACATATTACCTTCAATTCACTCAATCGATTTATTTGTTACATATGGGTTCAATTGTTCTCCATTCTTTAATTTCTCTCAAGTGTTTACATAATTCCTACAACAATTCCATATGTTTTTGATTGAAAATATCAAGTTTACATATTTAAGGTTTAAGGAAAAAGCAAGAAGTGAAAGGAAACTAAGTTAGGGTAGGGAATGGCATGAAATGATTAAAAGAAAATAAACTGCCTACACTAAATTGAGCAAATTTATTTGTGTACTTAGAATTTGGATGTGAGACCACGACCATTAGAAACGAGACTTCTAGGGCTTGAATTAAGGCTCAAGAATAACTTAAAACGGAGTCCGGATGAGGGAGATATACTTATTTGAAGTTACCAGGTATAAGCTGAAATAGGGCTGGCCACACGTGCGCCCACTTTGACCACTCGTGCGGTGACTGGACCGCTCGAGCAGTGGCCTTGGCCGCTCAAGCAGTGGTCTAAGCAGAATGAAATTTCTTGTTTTTGTTCATATTCTGCTCGTGCGGAGCTCGTGGCCGCTTGTGCAGCCTGGGCAAAATCAGACAGTTCGAAAATTCATCAAAAATTGAGTTTTCAAACCCAATTTCAAGCCAAGATCTATGTATTCTTCCTTTAAAACATGAAATACTAACCTTATACAAGTGTAATTTCACATCAAACATATCAATCTTGCATCAACAACAAATTCATGGACTCATCTGTTTCCCATATTCATACATTACATAAACAAGTTCAAAATACATAATCTATTAATAATCTTCCAACAGATCTTGTTGTCGTAAATCATCTAGGGTTTGTTTCATGGGTCAATCATAATAATGAACTTAAATCAAACAAAGATGGAGAGATTAGGGTTCAATTTCATGCCTTTAGCTCAAGCCACTATACAACTCAAAACCCTAGCTCAAATTCCTAATTTCTTCTTGAATTCAAGGCAAAGATGAGTTAGAGACAAAGATTGTAAGTAGTTTGACATACTTTTACTCAATTCTAAGGTTTGCCCCTTGATTTTCTTCAAATACCTAGCTTTCACTTCTTCCTCTCTCGCTAACTCACTGTCTAGAGCTCTCAAGCAATAATGAAGAACAATAGGCTAAACACGCATATATGACCCAACTCACAAAACATGATTTAATCATTACGAATCGTAATTTTTCAAAATTTCACCGTAAGCTCTATAAATCATGCTAATCATAGATATGAAGTCAGTTTTTTAATTTTATTTTTATCGCGCCTCTAAGGCTTTCAATTTCAGTTCAAAGTTTCAATTGCAACAGATATTCCTACTTTCAACAGATATTTTTTTCAAATTCACATATTTTCCATACTTAAACTTGCAATTCATATTTAACACATAATCCCATGCATAATTAAGCATAGTATGGGTTGGGTTATCACACACATACACTACACACACCTACAGCATAGAGAGGGCGAGAAGAGAAAGAGAGAACTTTTGGTGGTAGAGGAGGAAAAAGAAAGGAATTTTTGAGAAAAGACTTCACTAGGAAACAAGCAAGTCACTACACAATCCTCTCTTTTATTTTCTCATTCAAATACATGATATTAGAGACTTAGTATTAATTTTAGATGTTTATATATGGTGTTCATGTGTTTAAATAAGAAGAATTGAGCCTTAGTTGTCACCTTGCATGAGTTCTTCATTAAAATGAAACAAAACTATCTTTTTTTATCCCTTTCTCATATTATTTCCAAAGGCATACCTTCATTCTAAAAATCTTATTTATTTGTATACTATTTAGCATGTTTTTATCATAAAAGAAGTGGAAAATTACTCATGGTTGCCCTCTCTTTCTGTTACTTTTCTTATTTCAAGCTTTGTGCAAGAAAGACCAATATTTTCAACCCACTTTCAAACTTCTAGCAAAATGCATAAAAATCCTCTTGACCTAATTTTTATATCAAAACTTTCTTGAAAATGTTATATTTCAAGTAAAAATAGTTTTATTGAAAAGAGTGAGTGGTTTAAGAGAAAATCCAATTTTCGTAACAGTCGACAAATCTGGACAATACTGGAGTATTTGTTTAATAACTAAAAATATAGGATAGTTATCCCATTTCTAAACGGTGATTTGGAAATTAGATAAAATTATCTACAAATCCTAAAAAGGCCAAGTTCAGAAAAAAAAAATCTGGAAAAATCTCTTAGATTGTGATCTTTAACGTATATGTAATCTGGATTTTATTTTTGTTGATGATTACATGCTTTTAATTTCATGAATATGCTTCTTATTGGTTGTTCAAGCTTTAGTTTGACATCTACATAGATTTGTGGTTATATTACCTTAATCTTATGCCATGAATGTCCATAGTTGTGTAGAAATTATTATTTCAATTTTTTGTGCCAACCTTGATTAATGCACTTAAATTAACGAGAAGCTTAATAAGGGTGATAATGGGTTTTTGATCACATGAATAATTTTATGAGATAATGATTGTGTTAAATTTGTGTATTGGGTGGTGTGACGTGTTCCCTATTTGAAAGTAAAGTCTTGCGCAAGTGGTTATTTCGAAACCCTTGAATGGGTTGGTTGTATTCGGACCCTAGGTGATTTCTGTGTGATAAGGTTGGAGCAGGTTATGGGCAGGGCCCTTATTTTATTGTCTCTTTTGAGATTCTCTGTTGGCACTATGTGATACGTAACCATTGTAGGCATCCGAGGTAAGGTCTGCAAAGCAGCAAAAAAAAAAAAAAAAAAAAAAAAAAAAAAATACGTAACCATTGTAGGCATCCGAGGTAAGGTCTGCAAAGCAGCAAAAAAAAAAAAATGCATACCGAATGATCTGAGTCCAATTCTTGTGATTAGAGGACAGAATCTCTTTGAGAATTTCTAGGTTCTAACACCTAACCTTGTAACCCTCTACTTGTTTAGTTGCTTACTTGTTTATCCTACTTAAATGTTTATCGCAATTATGAATGTGTATTGAATTGGGAAAAAATGGACGAGGTGTGTGTGCGTTTACTGGGTATTCCAAACTCATCGCGTTTCATGCCAAGTACCGAAGAAACCTATATAGACGACGAAGAATCGAAAACGTTTGAAGACTATTGGTTATCCTAGACGAAATTAGAAGTAATTTTGTTAAAAGTCCATCTGTAATATTTTATCTTTTGGGAATGTAATATTGATGGAACTTGGGTTTGTAACTAAATTTTAACTTTTGTAGTTATTATTGTTTATATCTATATACATATATTTTGTGAACCTATCCTTACCCTTCCATCAACTTATGTAGACCTTGTGTTAATACATTTTTAAGATCTGTCAAAAAAGTAGTTTTGCTATCTAAGGTGGTTGGACTTTGAAGGAAAGTTATATTAACTCCTCCAATCTTCCTGAGATCTTACTTAGTTATTGACCAAAGGACGTCATAGCACCCATCGTATCACAAGACATATACCAAAAAAAAAAAAC